CCAGTACTTTGGCGATCTCATGAGAAGAGAAGACTTCTTGGAAAAAACCTTGATGTTGGGAAAGTGTGACGGCAAGAGGAGAAGGGGACGACCGAGGATGAGATGGCTGGACAGTGTCTGCGAAGCAACCAACATGAATTTGACACAACTCGTGTCCGACTCTTCATGACCCCATGGACCAGAGAACGCCAGGCACAATACAGCCCTACACAAGCCCACCCATTGGGAGGGCATTTACTTGCTTAAAAACAACCGCCCAGCCTTAAAAAAAAGAGCAACATCAGACCTTGTAATTAGGATGTCAATACAGAAACTGGACCCAGATGCCAGCTCTCTTCCCACACACTCTAGCAACACTATTACAGAACTGAATAATAATGACATCTACAATTGAGTTCATAACCTGTACATATTCCAACATGTTATTATTCTACCACTTGTCAACAGAGCTTTCCTGCATTCTATTTAGGGTAAGCAGATCAATCTCTATGCAGAAGGAGAGATGGATACAAATTTGTTATTAGGAATGACAATATTTTAAAACTAGCAGAACAGCTCAGCCCCCAGATACTCTTTCATCAACTGTTAAGTGGCCACTCTGGGGTGAAGAAATTTCAAAGGGAGATAGGAATGAGAAGTCACTGAGTGACAGAAGATGTTGCTGGGTGCCAACAACAGAGATATCATAGAGACCTGCATACAGATTTCTAGTTTGACAGAAGATGCTGCTGGGTGCCAACGACAGAGATTTCATAGAGACCTGCATACAGATTTCTAGTTACAGCTCTGCTTGCCAACTATAATGAAATCCTGTTACAGTTACACTGTAAGAAGAGTGATGCTATCACTAATTATGTGACGCTATCAATGTCACTTAGTTATGTCTTATTATTGGAAATACCCAAATAATTACAAGTTACTCATTATTTACAACTCGTTCGTTCATTCAATCGTTCTGTCATGTCCGACTCCTCGTGACCCCATGGACCAGAGCACGCCAGGCCCTCCTATCCTCCAATGCCTCCCGGAGTTGTGGTAAATTCATGTTGGTTGCTTTGATGACACTGTCCAACCATATCATCCTCTGTCATCCCCTTCTCCTCTTGCCTTTACATATTTACAACTAGTTCCTTTTAAATTCTGCTTTGGCTGCTTGTGGACCTGAAGAACTGCCATTGCTGCTTACAAATAATGCATTAAGATACCTGTTTTGTTTCTAGTGTACGACGACCCTGGAAAAGACACAGCTTATGTCAGCCATGAGGATTAATCATGTGATGGTTCCCTTGGGAACGAGACAAGCTTTCTGGCACAGAAACGCCAGGTGGCCAACCCTGGAGTGCAGCCCCACAAACAGCAATACCCAGGGGGCTGAACTGATCCTGCTAATAATTCCTTGTGGATTTGCCCCGCATTTTGCAAGTCTGATGGCTGATCACCACAGATGTCTCCATCTGCAGCCTGGGGGTGGTATTTAGTAAATGAACTCATAAACTCTGAGAGCTCCACATGGCTACAGCACACAGCGTTTGCAAACAAATCTCTCTCTCTCTTTCCCTGCCAGTCCTCTGTTTTAGAAAAGCAGTCTGAGATAAAGCCAGTGTGTGTTTTCTATGGTGCTGTGACAGGATGCTATTCTGTATTCTCTGCCACTTCCCTGTCAAAGGCCTTCCACCCCCTTAGATCTCAAAGCTGAAATCTGAGACCAGGAAGATGGTCTTTGTCAGAGAGGTGCAGGAGGCAAAGGCTCTGAGGAAAGCAAGCAAGACAAGAGTTTAAAACACTGAGCCAGTGAGGCCTGGTGCCAACTGAAAATGGTTAAAAGTGGGTGCTCAGGCTTTAAAGCAGGCGTGGGCAAGGTCTCGGGGCTTGGGGAGAAAATTGAAGTTCTCAGCCCCCAGAAAGGGCCACATCAGGCCAGGAGGTAGTCACTTTTTAAAAATAAGAAATTGAAACAGAAGTACAGAAGCACTTGGGCACTTCTGATATGTTTCTTGAGGGGCAGAAGGAGTCTTGGGAGACCATCTGTCACGCACCCCCATTTTTCTCCTGTTTGTTTTCCCATTCACACAGGTTCACCTTTGGACACGACGACTTGTTTTTTTCACCCTTTTACGCTGCCACCAGAGGATATTACCCTCACTGTACCAATTATGAATCTCAGACTATTGCTGCCAAATATATCAAGGTTTATTTATGGTTTGGTAGGTAAATCACAGAAGTAAAATCATTGATGAGATTTTATTATTCATTCAATAAACGTGGATCTGATTACAGTACATATATGCTTGCTTGTATTCATACACTTTAATCAAGGTGTCAATATTCTGACAGTCTATGTATTTCTTATTACTTTTAACTCTTTTATATTCTCTAACACACCAACTTTCCAATCTCTTGTCTAAACACTTCACATTCTTCTCCCTAACTGACTCTCTGTCCCTCCCAGTTCTGTTGACTCCACCCCTCCTGTCCTGTCATAGGCACTAGAGCTCTACAATGACTGCCAGGAGTGACGTGTGGGCTGTCCCCCACACTACCCCAAGACTATGGAATAGAAAACCTCTGCTCTTTGGGGGCCAAAATAGGCCATATGCCCCCCCTCTCTCTTCCAGTCTCCAGGGAGCACAAAAATGCCCTAGGGACCTCGCTTTGTACTTTACTGCTTTAAAGCCTCATCATAGAAACCAAACTTTCCCAAATACACCTCACTGCTAGCCCTGAGATTTATCTCCCCGTCTGGAGACCTAAGGGTGTTCATCCAAATGTTCTTCCCTTGATATCTACAGGATATTCAGATTTGGGACAATTAAGAGCAGTTCTTGAACAGACTGGGCTTCCCTTTTTCAAATTAAATCTACACAACTCTTTCAATGCCCTTCACAGGATTGGTTTCCAGATTCCTCACAATCCTGGTTGTCTTCCTGTGCATGTATTCCCTTTTGTCAATGTCCTTCTTACAATGTGGTGACCAGATGCAAACCTAACCGACTCATAATAGAATGAAGCAATTATTGTGTTCTGACACTACGCTTCTGTTCATCAGCCCAAGACAGAATTCGCTTTTTAAAGCAGCTGCCTTGAATTACTGACTCATTTTCAGCTTGTGATCAGCTAAGACACCTACATCCTTTCCCCATGGATGCCTGTCAAATCTTGTTCCCCCTACATCCTATCCATGTGGCTCTGACTAACTGTACCTGAATTACAGTAATTGAACATCTCTCCAGGCTGATACAGAGCACATTAGTAAGTGAGCAGCAAGTACCATTGTTCAGCCAGATATGGAGCCACCGAAGACTAATATTGGCCATACCCCCTTTTAACAGCTTGCCTGCAATGACATCTTGCTTCTCATAAAGCCCCAAAGACCTCTTGTTGTTTTTCCCATGCCTTGAAATCACTGCAATGACATCTTGTTGTTTTTCCCATGCCTTGAAATCATCAGAACATCCTAGGCTTCATAACATCATCATTCAGTTATGAGCTACTTTTTTTTGTATCTATGCTTTGTTATGTCTTGTATTCAGTTATGAGCTACTTTTTTTTTGTATCTATGCTTTGTTATGTCTCCCTCTTTCCATCTTCTCTTTAAGCCTCAGCTTGCTGGATAGCTTCTTGTCCAGCCACATGTTTCTTTAAAATGTCACCCATGTCTTCCTTTTCATAGGAATAAGATGTCATGATGACTCCCCTGTTTCATTTTGCCCAATCTCAGGTTTTCTTCTCCTTCAAATTTTCTAGGTCATGGGATCCAGTCCTGGGTTTTTTTGTTTGTTTTTTGCCAAACTTGTTGAAATTGATCTTCCTAAAAGCTGGGAAACGGCCTGTCCTCTTGCCCTACTGTCACACAGAATAAAGTGCCCACCTCAGGCACCTGATTTGAGAGATCTCAGGAGAGGATAACATTTTATTACTCACTTATTTTTTACTGTTTGTCTTTCTTAATCCCAGGAAGAAACACTTGAAGGATCTTTTATGTTTGGTGGCCAGCTCCACCTCTCACTCATTCTTGGCGTGTAAGGGGACACGTTGAACAGTGGTGAGCACATTGCAGCCTCCCAAAGTGATTTTTGAGACCTCCAGCCCCATCAGACTCCCCTAACCCACCGGCAAATCAATTTCCCCAGCAAAAAAGTTGAGCTGCTGTCCCAGAAATCTTTAGAAGTAGACGTTGGCCCTTTATATAGGTTGAAAGAGCACAGTGTCATGACATATCCACACCAGTTGCTTCTGGTTTCATTCCCCTCCCCATCGGAAGCATTTTTGGCAGGCTCTTCAGATCACAATGTTGCCCACCCGTGGACTAATGTCTCTCCTTTTGTGGTGGCCTCAAAGCAGACCCTGTCTTCAAACACGCCTACATGTGCCTATATTTTTGTGTTTCGAGCCCTGCCCGTGTCCACACCAGTAGAATCCATGGGGCATAACGTTTGCACACTTCTTGTTTAGAGAGATGTGGAGAGAAGTTGGTCTTAGGATGGGATGGGCGAGAACATCTGTATGAATTTTTGAGGGGAGGAGAGCTGCATAGTGACATGTTAAGAGTAATTTGTGTGCATTTAATGCACCAGTATAAAGCAGTATTCCCGTTGTAGGATCCTGGGGAGATAAGGGCAAGAATCCCCTTGCAGACAGGATGGTAAATAAGTAAATTTTAAATACTATGATAATAGGGAAGTCTATCTGTCAAGGCGTAACAAAAGCAGGTACAATTCTGAGCTTATTTCAAAGGGGAAAAAGCATAATCTTTAGCTGCGAGATCACAGACGTGATCCTACACTTTATTTTGAAGGAAAAGGGAGATTTATGCCACCATGCATTGAGCTGGGCTTGTCAAGACCGTGAAAACACGCGCTCTTTACTTGGAACTAATCCCACTGAACTCTCTGGGACCTCCGGAGGCCGCCAAACACACGTAGTGACGAGCTTCACTCTGCCTTCAGAAAAAACGCACCCAGCCTTCCAGTCTCCGCCTCGTTTCCTGGCACAAACAAGGCGCGAGTGGGCGTACTGAACTCGCTGAGAGAGAGAAAGGCAGGGTTCGCTCTGGTTCGGCTTCCCATTCCGGGTTTTCTTCGCCAACCGAGTAGGCGGGGTCCTTTCCGAGCCGCGCCCGAGTCCAGCTCCGGCTCTTACAGGCAGCCTCCCTAACGCTTTCCCTCGCTTGCCTCTCCAGCTGTTTTACGCATCTGGCCAGCCGCGCCTTCTTCTCCGACTCTCACAAGAGCGGCATCAGGGACTAGCAGAGCGGCACCGCCAGCACCCACGAGGCTCCCATGTCCGGCGAAGAGGCGGCCGGGGGCGATGCAGGCGCCCCCACCACCGGCACCGCTGCTCCACCGGCAGAGCAGCAGCAACAGCAGCAGCAAGAAGCTCGGCCAGCGGGGGCGGCCGTCAATACCGGGCGCTGGTGTTGACCGGCTTCGGCGGCTACGACAAAGTCAAGCTGCAAACGCGGCAGCTGCCTCAGGCGGAGCCCAGCCCGGCCTCGGGCCAAGTGAGCGTGCATGTCCGGGCCTGCGGGCTCAACTTCGCCGACCTGCTGGCCCGCCAGGGGCTCTACGAGAGGCTGCCCCCGCCGCCCGTCAGCCCCGGCATGGAGGCGGCCGGCACGGTCCTGGCTGTGGGCGAGGGCGTCACCAGCGTAAAGGTGGGTGAGGGGCTCTCGGGGAAGGCAATGGGGGACGGGGAGAGAGGCGGCGACGCAACTCTACACAGGCGGGAGGACGGGAAAGGGGACGGGGGGGGGGGGGGACTGCAGGAGGACCTCTTCCCCTGCAGTGAGGAGGCCGTGGGGCTGCGGCGCTGAGCGGAGGCGTCTGGGCGGTGGGAAGATGGAGGGTGGGCGTGGCCGGGAGAGGAAATTGGAGGGGCAGCGGGCACGCATCTTCTCCCCTCCCACCCCAGACCGAGGGTATTTGGGGGCAAGAAGATAAGCCGGGGGGGGTGTAGGTAAGTGGGATGTGGTAGGGACAGGAAGGTGGGTGGATAGGTGGGGGGAACGGGAAAGAAGCTGTAGGGCCCGAGGGGCTGAAATCTTAAATAAAGCTGCAAGTCGAAAGAAATAGGTTAAAGCCGGGAGGCCCCTCCCTTCAGGAAAAGGGCTAGAAGGAGGTGGGGAGGGGGGGACGGCCTGAGAGAAGCGGGGTGCAGCTCTTTCCCACCCAGCAGTTGTACCTGCCATGGGCGTGGACCTGAGCGTTTCCCCCTTGATGAGACAATGGCGAAGGCTGGGGTGGGATCCAGGGAGCCTCCCCGACCCCTCACAGTGCAGCTGGGGTGGGCGTTGGGGGAAAAAGTGGTTGCGGGAACTGCCCCATCACTGACTGTGGAGGGAGAAGAGACCAAGAGCTGGGCTCCTCCCAGCAGTAAAGGGGAAAAACTGGGCGGTGGCCAGCCAGAGGGTTCACGCCTTTTGACGGGCCTTGGCAGCTGTCCAGGCATTCCTGCGTGCCAGGATTTTCTCTTCCCTCAAAGGGTGGGGTGTGGTTTTTTTTTTGCTTCCAACTTGGGGTTCGGGATGGCACTGTTGTGTGTGGGTCACTGCTTTCATCCTTCTGAGGTGTTGGGGGACCCCCTTGGAAGCACCCTGGAAAGATGGGAATACCCTGCCTCTTTTTCTGGCACTGGAAACAAGACAGGGGATCCCTTTGGGAGGGAGATACCTCTGAAATGGAGCACTGTAAGGGAAATGCTCTCCTGCACACCCCTGTTACAATTCAGTAGGGCGGGAGACCAGTCACATTGACTGAATTCCATTCTCCAAAATGGGAGGGAGGGATCTCTTCCTCTTTACAGGGGGGGGGAAGGGGTGAGTAGGGAGTAATGACTTTTGGCTGTGGGTATAGACAGGATGCAAGGCTTTTATTCCTTGGCTTGAGACCAGCTGTATATTCCTGCTAGTCACCCTGAACATCCTTTCCTTCCTTCCAGATCTTCATACAGGCTGTTTTTAATGGTGTCCTCCTATAAGTTTAGTCTTCTAGACTGATTTTCAGTGCCACAGCCCTATCTCTTGAGACATCTTAGAATTTTTAAATTTTACACACACACACACACACACACACACACACACACACACACACACACACACACACACACACACACACACACACACACACACACACACACACATGTCTCTCTCGCTAAATTATT